AGCGGGAACGGAACTCTGTGTCACAGTATCCAGTACAGATCCGGAGAGAAACGGTACATGTTAGTTGGACCCAGGATGAGTATCGGTTCTGCAATTGTCCCTGGAAGCAACGGGAACACGCTTGTGGTTCAGGAACACAGTAAGAGAATATCCGGTGAGGTAAGACCTGCTCACCTCACTTTCCTCCTTTATTTATTTATTTATTTGTCTGATTCTTTGTCCATTTCCTGTACCCGCTTGTCCTACTCAGAGCAGCACCGAGGTCCGGAGCCTATGCCGCGAGCTCTTCATTTATTTAATGTAGCAGTTAAATGCAATAGCTACTTGTTTCAGTTATTTATTCATTTTTATCTTTTGTGTTTTTCTTTGTATTTACTTTGTCATTTTACTTTCTCTGCGTTTTTTAAGGAATATTTTTATTTATCTTTTCCACCTTCACTGCAATGGTTGAATCATTCATTTAAATTGATCATTTGACCACCGACAATTTTACGTTTCATCCCAAGTTGTATTACTTTTACTTATCAAATCATTCCTTCAACCGCGCAATGACCTTCCATCCTGCCGCCCTCAGTCTCAACCCGAAGTAATTCACAAGCCGTAATGAAGGTAGATTTCTTTGCGAAATGACCATATTAATTTGAAGTTTTTCAAATATGCATTATTAATATTTCCTATTTTTAATATCAATAATTCTAAGTGAATCTGTATGTACCTTGTTACATATGTCGATTAAGAAGCAACGGAGTGGTTAAAATGGAATGTAAATCCCAGAGGTGATATATTTATCTCGTATTCTTCATACATTTTAAGGCGGTTATTGCATTTGTGGTCCCATGGTGGCAGTATTGGAAAAGGAATCGCTTGAGGAACAGCTGAAAAGGCCTCCTCCTCTTTGTCATTTGCGCGTATCCTATGTGAAAGAAGCCCGCGGAGCAGGAATGAATGTTCTTTTGATTGCGGGAAATGAAATGAAATGAGTAAAGTCACGACTACGTTGCTCGACATACATTTTATCGCAGTTTCCTATATTGTCTTTTGAGTATATAGTATTGCTGAATGGTGAAAATCTACTGCATCAGTATAATGGAGACCGACCAATGCAAAAGGACGCGGCAGTATGGCTGGGCATTTCTTCATCTTGTGATTCTGTCGTTATTGAGCAGAAGAGGATCTTGTCAAGTCCGTTACTCCATCCAGGAGGAATTACCGCTCGGCACCGTAGTGGGGAATGTGGCTAAAGACATCGGACTGGATACAAGCGTGTTGGTGGATCGGAACCTGCGTATTGTGACAGGAACAAAGCAGGACCTTTTCCAGGTAAACCAGAGAGACGGCAGTTTGTTTGTGAACCAGAGGATAGACAGAGAGGAATTATGCGGAAAAACGATTCCGTGTTATTTTAATCTTAAAGCTGTGATTGAGACCCCGGTAGAAATGCACCGAGTTAGTGTAGAAATTTTAGATATTAATGACCATTCACCCAGTTTTCCCAGCAGGGAGAGTCGCATTGAAATTTCCGAATCCGCCACGACTGGAACACGTTTTCAATTAGAGGCTGCGATAGACCCTGATGTAGGTGTAAATGGTTTGCGATTTTACAAACTGAGTCACAGCGAGTATTTCAAACTTGAAATTCACGATCGGAATCAAAACATTAAGATTCCGTTTTTGACATTACAGAAACCAGTCGACAGGGAACTCAAAACGGTGCATAAATTATCTCTAGTCGCCTCGGACGATGGTAGTCCACAGCGATCGGACACCTTGAATATTACAGTTACAGTTCTGGATGTAAATGACAACGCCCCGGTTTGTAATAGACAGGATTACACCGTCTCGATCCAGGAAAATGCTCAAATTGGTACATTAGTTGCACAAATAAATGCCACTGATTTGGATGACGGTGCTAATGGAGAAGTAACATATACCTTTATAGATAAATTCAGTAGTCGGGTATCACAAGTATTTGACTTAGATGAAAAAAGTGGTGAAATTGAAATTAAGGGCT